AAAGATGCCTGTCAATTAGCAATTATGCACTGCTATTAAGACAATTTTGATGATAGGGACCCTGTATGACAAACTAGAATGTCTGGGGGCTTCTGAGATTGTACATATTTATGGGAGTAGCCAGCCTCATATTCCCGTGTGTAGTGGCTGGTGCGTTTGACTGCTGGCCTCGCAGGGATTTGCGCAGTTTAACTTACTGTGCTACCAAGCTCCTCCGCCGTTTGAGAGAGATGGAAATCAGAACGACAGTGAGACATCATCCCACACCTGCACAGGCAGTCCTGGCAAAAACTAAACAACCAAACAAGACGCAGGTGAGGTTGTGGAGACACCGGAACCATTACCCACCGCTAGTGGGATTTTAAAATGGTCCGACGACAGTGGAAAATGGTTTCATGCTTCTCCCAAAAGCTAAAAATCAAAGTTCTTTTTAATCCAGCAATTATCATTCTTAGGAAAAATCCTAGGGATTTAATATCAGGGTCACAACGAGACGTAGGCACACCTGGGTGCATGGCAGAAAGATGAGAACTTGACAGACTGGAAGTCTGTATTCAGTCTAATAACCAAAACACATGTAAAACTCCAACAGTGTAACAAGACAGGAGCAGATTACCCAGTCCTACACTGGGCACAGGACTTGAACAGACATTTTACCAAAGAGGACGGAGCACATTAAATCATCAATGCCACTAGCCACGCGAGAAAAGCAAATTAAAACTACAGTGGGAAACTACTTCATTGCCATTACGCTGGTTAAGGTTAAAATAAAAAACAAACAGGAAATAGGAACTGTTGGCATCTGTGGTCTTAAAATCTTGCAATTGGTCATCAAAGATATAATTGTTGGTCTCTAGTCATCTGGCGTGGGATAAAGACGAAGTTTTCTATCCCACAAGATTGACAGTTCCAGAACCGCACAGGAACAGTTCTACTTTGTCCGACGGGGTTGCTGAGTCGGAATGGACTCTCTGACAGTGAGTTTGGGGGGTTTTGTTACTTATTGTTTACTCACCCGGAACAATGAGAAAGAAGAAAACCAGAGACTCAATGAGGAAACCACTCGGTAGGACCATTAGCCTACATGAACCAAAGCCCCACACAGTTTCAGACCAGAGACACTAGATGGTACTGGATACCACTACCAGTCATTCTGACCAGGAGCACAATCTGTGACGTAATGGAAGAAAACCGTAGACCAAATCTCCAATTCTTTAAAAAGGTGACATTTACTGGGCTGGCAGAGACTAGAGGAACTCTTGAGACAACCACCATGATACAGCCTTAAACTTTGAGCTAAAACCACACATTTTTGGATAAAGACCAGATTGAATCACAAAATAATCATTTTCACCCCTAAGTACTATATTTCTTTTTAAAAACAACTACATGATATCAAAAGATTAACATTTACCCTAAAGACGAGTAAAGTGGTGGGGTGGGTGGTGAGCAGGGCAGGAGCTGGATTACTGGGAACTGAATAACCAGAATGAAAATAATAATAATCAAGTTGAAGCACTGTGAACAATATTTTTGGACACTACCGATAACCCAATACCAAACACCTTACCATCGAGTAGGCTCCTGGCGACTCTATAGGACAGGGTAGACTCCCCCTATGGGTTTCCCATACTATAACTCTTTATGGAAGTAGAAAGCCCCATCTTTCTCCCTCAGAGGGGTGGACAAACCCGGGGGCTCCAGTTCAGTGGGAACGGACCAGGTTAAAGCCCAGCAGCATGGCAATGATTGCCAGGGCATGCCAGGCTCACTGGGTGATAGCTGGCAGCAAGGGGATGAAGCCCAAGCAGGCCCACAAGTCCCGTGCGTACAAAGGTGGGAAGGAGTGGAGAGATCACAGAAAGAACAGGGAGCAAGCAGCAGATGTTCAGCCGCGGAACTGTGCAGAGCTAGGTTGGAAAAGAGTCTCTTTGAGGATGATCAGTCTCAGTGGAGGTTGCTAAATTGTGCCGCACTTAAGAGAGGCTCTGAGCAATGTTCCAGTATGTTATGTCCCCACCAGAAAGAGAAGGGAGGCTCTGAGACACACTGCAGCAGCAATGAACCTGGAAACCTTGAGTGCATTCAATCAACCACAAAGGAAGAATCGTGCCTAGTCCTACCGATTTACAATATCCAGAATAGGCAAATGGGTCCCATGACTAATGTTCATTTGTGATTAGCAGGGGCAGGAGGAAAGGACCAAGGAATTCACTGCAGAAGGGGCACTGAGCTTCTGTGAAGGATGACAGAAATATTTGGATAATGGTGATGGTTAAACAGTGACAAACAATGACTGTTGAAATGGCAAAGTTGTTTTATATCTACAGTTACCACAATTTTTTTTTTTAAAAAAGAAAGAACAAGAAATGGATGTGGGAGTATGAAGAGATACTGTGTGGATACACCAATCTAAGTCCTCAGTAGAAGGACCCCCTGCTCTCAGAGGGCTTCCTGGCAGAATCAGTCAGCCATGAAGCGCCATGAAAAGGTTGTTCTGAAACGGCTAAAGCCAATAGGCCAACCAGGGTGCCAGAGTCCAGTCAATGCTTGGTGAAGGCCTGAGGGAGAGAGGTGGGGAACACAAACAAGAGACCTAAGCTCTGACCAGCTGGGCAGTGTCCCAGGTCAGGGCAGGTCGTGGTGCAGCCATGAGACCTTATCCAAAAGGTGGGAGGAGAACCTGCAGGTGAGAACGGGGTCTGTAGGAGGACTGAGACTGAGTTCAAATCGACAGTCTAACGCCTGTGACAGTACAGCAGTGACCTCACACTAGGAAGCTGGTCATCGGACAAGCCTCAACATTACCAGCTACATGGTAAGTGAGCTAGCACCCCAAGCGCTCTCACCACGGAACTCCTGTCTCACATCGTCCATGCTCGGAGGGAAGCCTGCAGTCTGACACCTGGGAGGTCAGACACCTGATGAGTGGGGCACCTTAACTCCAAGTCCTAAGAGTCCTGTATCTCCCAGACAAGAGGGCAGCAGTGCTGCGCATGACGAGTTGTCACAGTGAGCTTGGAGGGTGGGGTGTCAGCCTTACAGGTTCATGAACATGCTGAGCGCCTTACCCAACTTCCCTCTCCTGGTGGGGACAGAAGTCAATGCCTCCCAACTCCCAGACGGCATTCAGAGAACACCATGGCCGTCACAGGTCTGCACCCTACCAAGCTGTGCCGAAGACTCTGGTGTTGGGGGTGTGTCCAGCACTTGCCCTTCGACTTGGTGTGCTGACACAGGCACAGGACAGTGGTGGGAGCGAACGTGCGTGGCTGTTCGGGATAGGAAGAAGGAATCCAGCAACCAACATACCACCACTACAGGTACTGGGGGCAAAGGCCCCGGCTAAGCCACGGGTCATCGAGGGCATAAGAGGGTAAAGTACTATGACAGGAGGGCAGTCTCACAGGTGACTGAGGACATGGTAGGGCAGGTCCTCTGACAATGGGAGGCCCCAGTGTAATTGAGGGCATAACGGGGACAGGCCCTGTCATAGTGGCTGGCTTTGGCACAACTGGAGGCACAGCAGACACAGAGCATGTGACAGCAGATGGTGGCACAATCTCTGGAACAGTAAGTAGCCTCACTATCATGGACAGGGCTCAGGGTGTGGTGGATACAGGCCCTATGAGAGGTAGGCCCTGTGAGCCTTCACGGCATTGAAGAGTATGGTGAGGATAGGTTTGGGGACAGTGGGGTTTTCACTGTAATCATGGGTACGGAAGGGGCGACCCCTCTGATGGCTCTATCACTGTAACTGGAGGTGTGGCAGGTTCGGCCCCATGGCAATCAGTGGTCTCCCTATAATTTAGGGTGATGTGTGACACGGGGACCTCAGGGGTGTCTCTGGAACCAGAGATGTGTATTGAGCTTTCGGTGCAATGAATCTGGATAATAAGGCAAGTGAGCAGGGCTTTCTCAGCAGGTGAAGCTGCAGGCACTTAGGTAGGACCGGCGTACATTGTGGGCTTTCAGGGCAGTATCTGGTTTATGAGTATGTGGCTGGTATATGTGGGGTCTGAGCAATTCTGGAACAGAGCCAGAAAGCAGCCTGGTCTAGCTTGTAGAGAACCTTCAAGACAAATAAAACACAGCTTCGGGTCAAGGGGATGGCGATGCATAGGTCAAGGTCAAGCAGATGGCCCTTGGCTCTCTTTGGGAATAACATCTGCCCGGGGTCTTGTCTCCTCTCAGCCTGGAGAGCAGAGAAAGGGCTCCTGATCTGGTCATACAGGCAAGCCGGTTGGGCCTGGCGCTCTAAACCCCTTTCCCACTCAACCCACCTTTTCAAGTGGCTTTCATCGACTAAACAACAACCTCTTACAGATATGTGTAATTCTGGTATTTCCTTCCCCTTGCCCCTCCTCGGGGACAGACCTCAGTAGGCAGAGGGCAATAGCCACAGGAAAGCTTGTCCGTCACCTCCCCCACAGTGGGAGCACAATGAAAAACATGGAGAAACCCATGCTGTCCTCCAGCAGCTGGGCAGGGGATGCTGCAAGTGCATGGGGGGTGAGGGTAGGAGGTAGTGGGTAGAGGAGCTGTGGGGACCCTGTCGTGCACATTGCAGTCACCTACAGACCCGGCCACAAATGCGGTGACATCAACTAATGCATAAGCAGTCAACCTATGGACCAGCTCAGGATGGTGGAGACACCTCCTAACACACATGCAGGCCATTCACAGGCCAGCCCTGGCACCAAAGTAACGCACTCTGCACGACTAATCAAAAGGTGAAGAAGCGGGATTTCTAGCCAAGGAATCCTACCTGCCCGTAGTAGTGGGCCCAATAAATGTGCAACTAAAGCCACCCAGGCACATGTGGGCAGTGAGATATAACAGAGGGTGCCGGCGTTGGAACTGGGCCAGAGATTCAATTCTGTATTGCTGCTCACTGACCTCCTGAGCGTGGGCCCACCACTTTATCTCTTCCTTTGTGCCTCAGTTTCCTCCTCTGTGAAATGGGTACCTCTGCCTCAGCGATATCGGGTTGAACTCACCTGAATCTTGCCTTGGACCCCAGTGCTGTCCATACGACTGGCCACATTGACCGTGTTGCCCCAGATGTCATACTGAGGTCTCCGGGCTCCAATCACGCCGGCCACAACAGGCCCAACATTGATACCTGCAACAACAACCATGGTTGGTGTCAGCTGGCAATGTGAGGTTAGTCTAGCTGGCAAGGCTGGTATCCCTGGCTGGGAGGAGTGCTTCTCAAAGGAAACGCCCTGAGGTTCTGGGGCTGTCCCCTCCAGCCCTCTCTCCTGAAGCAGGGACCTTCATAACATCCTGAGCACCTGTGCCTCCGTGGGTGCGTGGCTTTCAGGGACGCGGATCCCTCCAGATGCAGCCCGGCTGCTGTGGAGAGAATTCCTAATCCTGAGACAGGCTTGTCTCTCAAACTTTCCCACTCAATCTAACCCTTGGAGGCCCTAAGAAATCTTATCAGCTAATCCCTAAGGTCACACTTAGTATGCATGTTGCCAATCACAATGGTGTATTTCCACTTTAAGAAGAAACAGTGGCTCTTGACTTCTAGGGGGTGGGGGCAAACGACACAGTACAAGGGAGTTTGACGAAAGTCATGAAAATAAAAATGAAATGAAAACGGTAGCAGCATTTTCCCATGAATTTTTGAAGTCCCCTCATAGTTCTGGACGCTGTGAAGAGAAGGAACGGAGGCCCCCCTCTCTTTATGCAGAACAGGCAGCTCCAGAATGGTGAGCCAAGGACATCAGTGTTACTCACCATGTAGCACCTTCAGCAGTGTTACCCGCGCTGGGACTCCCGAGCTTGAAAATGGAGATGATAAGACCTGGGACGGTACCATGGGTGGATGCCCAGGAGGTTCCTAAGGTAGCATGCTGAAGGCCTAGCTACAGCTGAGCTGCTCTTTCCCCAGCGCATGCCAGTCCGATCTCCCATTCTCCTTTGTGGATGTCTTCTTGAGTGGTCGGGGTTTTGTTTGTTTGTTTGAGAGCATTTTCATCACCGGCTTTGTAATTCTCATGAAAGTCTACTAGCCTCTACTCTAGTTTAGTTGAGTCTTAAACTAGCAGGGATTTTTCTGGTAAACTTTCTGCATTCCAGGGGAAAAAAATGTCCGTTTATAGATAAAGGTTTATAATGTATCACTCTGAATATGGTTTTGTAAAAGCTAGAAAAGAACTTGAACATCAAATAGTTTCCTTCCTTATTCTGTAGGGAGGGACGAGAACCCAGGGAAGACACACACTGTGACGGAAGTCGAATAGATGCCACTCTCCCAGACACCCCCTGCCCTCCAGGCGAGGGCCTCCTCCTAGGCTGCCCCATCTTCCCTGGGCCTCAGGATGGAAAGGAGGGGATCACTGACCTACGGTCCAGAAGTAATGAGTACCTAAAGTGTCTTGAGACACCCTGGAGATTTCTCATTGGTTTCATGGTGTTAAAACACCTCTCCTTATATAATTAAGTTGTAGAGGCAACTTTAAAATGTCCCAGGCTCTGTGGGGGGAATATCCAATTTTCTACAGATGGGCTTTAGGTCTCCACTCCAACCCACCTTGTTCACATCGATATAGTTGTTTATTTTGGATCTTTGGTACCTGATACCTGATCTCATCAACACCTTATGATCACACAGGCTGGTGTGCTTCTTCCATGTGGGCTTATTTGCTTCCCTGCTAGATGGCAGCTTGTTTACTTTCAAGCCTTTAAGACCCCAGAAACTATATTGTTTGATAGCTGGGCACCATCAGCTCTCTTCACCACATTTGCTTATGCACCCTTTTGTCTTCAGCGATCATGTTGGGAAGGTGAGTATCAAAGAGTGCCAGGTTATTAGGACAAAGTGTTCTTGTATTAAGAGAGGCCTTGAGTAGAGGCCCAAAGGCCATATCCCACCACAGTAAGGGATAATTCAACCAAGGTGCAGTATAGCACCAACAAAACAAAACTACATCATTCCTGTAGTCCCTGAATGCTTCCTCCCTCCACTACCACAACCCAATTCTACCTCACAAATCTGGCTATACCGGAGTACACACATTGCTACAGATAAGAGCTCTTGACATATGGAACTCAGGACAGATAAACAACCTTGGGAACTATAGCGGGAGTATCGATATCATGAAGATAGGGGAATGGTCATGGAGGGGGGGAGGAACCCATCACAAGACTGGATATATAGCTCCCCCACCAAGGGAATGAATAGCAAATATGAAATAATAATAACAATATACAATTGATCAAGGATTCACGAGGGTGGGAGGGTGGAGGAGGGAAGGGGAAAAAAGGAGCTTATATCAAGGACTCAAGTAGAAAACGTTTTGGAAATTACAGCAACGTATGTACAAAGATGCTTGATGCAATCGATGTATGGAACGCTGTAAGAGCCATAAGAGCCCCCAATAAAATTATTTTTTTAATAAATAAAATGAAATGTCTCAGGCTCTGCATCCTGTTGCCCTGTCCATTTTCTCCTCCATGTACCCCCTCCTGCCTGTGGGGACAGGAACCGTGCCTTGGCCCTTCTCCTAAGGGAACCACCAGGACCTGAGTGTTGAGAGGGAGGCAGAGGGGTTGAAGTGATATCTTACCCACACGAAGCACAAAGTCGTTGTACGACTGATAGTTGATTTCATCCAGGACATCGAACATCTCAATAGCAAAGTCTGCAAGTATGCTGAGGTGGGAGGCGATGGACTTTTTAGCCTATAGGGGAGCAGATGGGTTATTAGATTTGGACAGGACTGGCCCTGGGCAGTTTTAATCCACTGGGCATAGGAACTCCCAGCGTATACAGCACACCTGTTCTACCAGCGAGTCTCTGCAAAACAAGCTCAAGCTCTGAGAAGCACAGCTGGGCTCGCTTTGAAGGGCAGCCCTCCCCCCATACATAGGCCCTGCCTCTCAGCAGACGTAGAGCACAGGTGAACATGCACATCTTTTCTGGGTCACTGGGGACTGAGGACGTGGGAGAGCACACACAGGTTAGGGGACCCAGGGACACCTGAGAAGAGCAGCCCTTATATTGGGAATTTTTTTTTTTTTTTGCTGTGGGAGAGGGTTGGCGAAGCTGTTGAAAGGTCCTTCCTTCTGAAAGGCTGACACTAAGTGAGTTTTCCTTTTAAAATCTAACGTGCAGGCTTCCTATTCATCCTCCTTCAAGGAAATTTCGCTAATTCTCAAAGTCAAGAAATAGTGCATTTTTCAACCCTTTTCCCACACTGAATTCTTCGGCAGTGCCCTTAGATACGCTTTAGGGACTGCTGAGGGGGCACGTGGGGTGGAGGCTGAAAGAGGACCCAATAACCGTTCGGATGCCCACCTCGTAGCTGAAGCAGGGCCCATCTCCACGTGGTGAGGAAAGGGAAGGGAAGGCAAGTGTGCTCTGAGAGCGCTGCCTGAGGAGGGGACCTGCATCCCTGCGAGCCCCGTGCCTCCTGAGGAGCCTGCACACCACTGGGGTGTCGCCCTTAAGTCAGCGGCAGGGAAGAGCAAGGATAATCTGGGAAGGAAGGGTGAGGGCACAGGCAGCACCAGGGGAGCAGACAGGACTGCGGGTGAAATGCCTTTATAACTGTACAGTGAACCCTCGCCACTTCGCGCTTCGACTTCCGCGACTTCACTCTATCGCGGTTTTTGCGTAACAGCGCATGCTCTGTCATTACTGCCACTGATTGGCTCATACTGTACACGCTTGATGCCATAAATAATATAATAAATAATAAATGATAATTGTAACGTCCAAAATGTTTTACTGTATTTTCCCTTTTTCGTTTAATAAATTGGGTAATACGAGTGTAATGGTGACTAAAGGTTGTTTTTTCATGTCCTCTATGCTCTAACTACGAAAATATTTGATTTACAAATAAGGAATCCTACTTCACGGAATTTCATTTATCACGGTAGGGTCTAGAACCGATTAACCGCGATAAACGAGGGTTCACTGTACACATGCATATGAAGAGTCAAGTTACAAAAAACTCGCCAAAACATCATCAGGGCCCTTCCTTCCTTCTCCAGGCGGAGCGCGTGTCTGCCCTGCCCGGGCCAGAGCCACAGAGCCCCTTTCTGCTCAGCTCCAGAGCGACCCAGATCTCCTTCCCAAGGATTAGCCTCCGTACACAGGGCCTGCAGTGGTTAAGACTGAGCAGGGTTAGGAAAGCGCATTTCCTCCCCTTACTTCTATTTTCAGTGATATAGTCACTGATGCTAACTGAAGTCTGGGATCCCACACCGAGGAAGACCAGAGCTGAGAGTGGTGATTCTATTCTGCCTTCTCGATCTCTTTGGGCACCAAGGCCCCACAAGGAAGGCACCCGCCCAGGATGTGTTGTAGGGAACTTACAGCATCCCACAACCAGCATCAGAGGGTTAGGGAGAGACAGTTGGCAGTGGAAGGGGCGGGAGGGGCGAGTCAGACATCAACTGTGCGGTCTGCCTCCTTGGTGGGCTGACGGAGCTGCCCGGTGCAGAGTGATGAACTATTTCAAGCAGTGCATAGCCTGGTGCAAAGAATGATGGCTGTTGAGGGATTCGAGGGGCAGCGCAGGGCTGGAAGCTAGTGGTCAGCATCACGGAGACGGGTGCTTTCAAATGCCTCCGTGGCACTCCGTGTGGTCCTCATCCACCTTCTTTACTTTGCCTCAACCCAGCCGCCTGGTGTGGGGCAGATTGCTGAGCAAAGACGGCTCCGTCTGGGAGAACCCTCAAAGGTGTACGGGCAGCAAGATTAGTCTGCTCAAGGAAGCGCTCTCTGCCCTGCTTCTGAGGGGTTTCCATAAGAGACTCTGGAGGAACCTCCCCTGGCACCTATAACTCAATCTAGAAGGCATGCCCAGGACTGGAGCTGGGGAAAGTGAGACTGGAGGATGCAGAGTGGAGGGAGGGGGGCGAGGGGATCGGTGTTGGTGGCCACTGGCATAGAACACTTTGAGGAGGAGTCATATAAGAAAGCACTCACCTTGGCTTCGGCTGTGGGTGCCAGCCCCACCGCTGCCATGTATGTGCTCCCAATGGTCTTTATCTTCTCGAGGTCCTTATAAAAGTCTTTCTCCATGAGCTTGGTTTAAAACATAAAACTGTTCAACATTACATAATATTTTAGACAAGTCCCTGCAGTTCTCAGCCGCAACGAGCAACAACAGAGGGACACGCACATCTAAGAAGTCATCTTCCTCCTCTCTTTGGGGCACTGGACCAGTTTGAGGACTAGACTAAAGTAATTAGACCTGGGTGGGGTGGGGGGTGGAGGGAGTGGAAAGAGAAAGCAAAAAGGAACGTGTGCAGACACAGACCTGCCTGCCTCCCACGGGGGCAACCGATATCCTTCAGGGACAATCTAAGGCTCTCTCCCAAATGCCATCAAGGTTGACCGGACCCACAGTGCCACCTGGGAATGCCACTCCCACGTGGGAGACACCTGGTTACCTACCACAGGTGGGGCGCCCCCGGGCCATCCTGAGGACAAAGACACTGAGTGAGAGGGGCATCAGCATCCAGCTGTCAGTTTGGCCCCTGGTCGCTTGCTTCCTCTCACTTCCTAAGGCAATTTCCGGACTGCTTTACCATATCTAGAGTTCTGTGGCATAGTGGGATATGAGTTGGGCTGCTACCAACAAGGTCGGAAGTTCAAACCCATCAGTTGTTCTAAGGGAGAAAAGTGAGACTATCTGCTCCTATGGATTTATAATTTGGGAAAACCAAAGGAGGAATTCTCCTCTGTCCTATAGGGTTGCTATGAGCTAAATGGCAGAGTTTGGGACTGGGTTTTTCTCTTGTCTGTGGGAGCCTTGGTACTGTAGTGAGTCACATGTTGGGCTGCTAACCACAAAGTCAGCAGTTCAAGTTCACCAGCCATGCTTTGGCAAGAAGCTGGGGCTGTCCTGATCAAAAGAAAAAATCGCAGCCTCAGAAACCCTAAGGAGTAGTTCTACTCTTGGAATCAACTCCAGGGCAGTGCGTTTGGCTTAGTCTTGGTTTCTTCCTGACCTGTCACCATTAATGTGGACTTTCAGAGGCAGAGGGCCTGGGCTTCCCCAGGACATACTTGCTGCCTACTGGCACATACAAGGTACATGCTGTACTGCTGAATCCACAGTACTTCACTCGGTAAAGGCACACCTACGGAACCTGCGCAGCACCCACTGACAGACCCCTCCAGCGCTCACGGAGCTGACCACAAAGGAACGTGGGCATTACCTCGTCGAAGTCCGCGATGATCTCATTCAGGAGCCGCAGGCACTCCACGCCCATGTTGTTGCCATCGAGCTCAATGTAGAAGTCATTGAAGTTGGGGATGGAGGCGAACATGACGCCCACCTGTGCGTACGACTGGTAATAGAGGTC